GCGATCTTGGCTTACTGCAACCTCCACCTCCTGGGTTCAAGCAATTATCCTGCCCCAGTCTCCCGAGTGGCTGGGACTACAGGTGCGCACCACCACGCCCAGCTAATTTTTGTATTTTAGTAGAGACAGGGTTTCACCATGTTGGCCAAGATGGTCTCGATCTCTTGACCTTGTGATCTACCCCCCTCAGCCTCCCAAAGTGCTGAGATTACAGTCGTGAGCCACTGCACCCGGACTGGACTTAATTTTTTAAAAAAAATTTAATGTTACTCATTTCGATGCTTAAAATGACCCAGTTTGGTTAGTGGGAGCTCCTTCAAGCTGGCTCCCCAAGTCCTTTTACTATGTCCCACTGATTTTTTTTTTCGTATTTCCTTATTCTGACAAGGTAATGCTCCAGGCTTACATTTTCCCTTGCTCAGACCAGGAATTAGCAATTTCTCCAAGGAGTTTCTTTAATAGGTATGTAGTAGTAGTTTCTTGTTTTCTTTTAGCGGTTATATCATTTAGAAGCTAAAATTGGCACTAGATGTTCACATTGATACTGGAGTATCATTGCTTTGAGGCATTTCAGCAGACAGAACTAGGAAAATTTAAGCAAATACATATATGAGGGATACATGTATATATGAATACATATGTCGTATTTTTAAATCATGAGTTCATACTGAAACTTTTAATCCAACATGGGTGCTGCTTTGCCTTCCCCCGTTCTGTGTTGGTCTCTCTTACCACAGTAATAACCCTGGCTCTCAGTATCCTCAGTGTATTTCAGTCATTTGCTAAGTGCTACCATAGATACAAGTTTCAGAATCACTACAGCTCCATCCTTCACAAGTTCAAGGCTTCTTTGTAGTTCATTTTGTCTTTAAATTGAAGATAACATGGTTAAGTTATCTGAATTAGTAACTGAGTGGTGGTTGTGAAAATGAATTAGTCCTTTTTGCTTGTAAACCACTTTAAAGCTTTTCCTTGGCCAGGCATGGTGGCTCACACCTGTAATCCTGAGGTGGGTGGATCACGAGGTCAAGAGATTGAGACCATCCTGGCCAACATGGTGAAACCCCATCTCTACTAAAAATACAAAAAATTAGCCAGGTGTTGTGGCATATGCCTGTAGTCCCAGCTACTCGGGAGGCTGAGGCAGAATTGCTTGAACCTGGGAAGCAGAGGTTGCAGTGAGCCGAGATTGCACCCCTATACTCCAGCCTGGTTACAGAGTAAGACTCCATTTTAATAAAGATAAAGCTTTTCCTCCACACTGTTGACTTGATTTTACTAAGTAAATCATTAATAGTTTTACCAGAACTGGAGACTAAGTTTGAGCATAAGGACCAACCATGGAGTGCTGATCCAAGACGCTCCCCTGCGCATCCTCTGTGCTTTCTTCTGTGGTGAAAACCCAGGGCTGGCCCTCTCGCTACTGTTGGTTTTCCCTGGTTCTAAGCCCTTGGCTCCAGAGATCTGTAAGCACTGCTTGGACAGTGAATCATTATTTCGAGGTCAACTTAATGTTTGACTGTTTATTCTCCACTCTTCCCATTTCAAAAATATTTCCCCCTACCCCACATTCCCAGTAGCCATTAAGAGTCATTCCTTTTTTTTTTTTTTTTTTAAAGCATCTTTCCTCTTTCCTTCAATTACCAATCCTAGTTGGGCTCTGAAGACTTGCAGCAGTCTCTTCACTGATCTCTGTGGCCTCCCACTAAGCTGGAAATCCTGTTCTCAGCTACCAGACTAACTCCGGATCCAGATTTTGTTGCATTCCTCTGCTCCAGTGCCACTTCCAGAGCTCTGTTTCTCTAGAGTCCTTAGCCTACATAGGTGGTCCTGGACAGTCTGTCGCTCCCTTGGTGGCCTAGTGAGTTTTATGAGCCCACAGTTCTTGCTTTCATGCTTTCTCCTATGGTCCATACAAGAGTACATACAGGCCAGGTGTGGTGGCTCACGCCTGTAATCCCAGCACTTTGGGAGGCCAAGGCAGGCAGATCACGGGGTCAGGAGTTTGAGACCAGCCTATCCAACATGGTGAAACCCCGTCTCTACTAAAAATACAAAAATTAGCCGGGCATGGTGGCAGGCGTCTGTAATCCCAGCTGCTCTGGAGGCTGAGGCAGGAGAATCACTTGAACCTGGGAGGTGGAGGTTGCAGTGAGCCGAGATCGTGCTACTGCACTCCAGCCTGGGCAAGAGAGAGTCCATCTCAAAAAAAAAAAAAAAAAAAAAGTAGATACAAGCTATTTCCACTCCCCACCCCCTTTTTGGAGGGAAGAGAGTCCAAGAATTATTTCACCAGGTTGTGCAATCTGGATACTGGTATGGTAGAGGAACCAGCTCAAGAGAACGCCTGGACTAGCAGCTTTAGGGAAGCCTTGGATGGTGGGGAAACTCCCATACAGAAACCCAGCTGGTCAAAGAAAACCGAAGATGCAAGATCTTGGAAGTTTTGTCAAGCGGATCAGCCTCTATGGACCACGGAATGCCTTGAGAGTAGTGACAGTTGAGTATTCTCTTGGCTGTTGTGTGGGAATGTCTTTCCAGCTGGTGCCCTCACATTAAAGGAAAAAGAAAAAAAAAACACTTTATTTTGTAAATGGGAAATAATTGAGTTCACTGAGCAGAGGGCTGACAAGTGTCTGCCTTTAAACTGAGAGCACATAATATGGTGAGCTGTGGTGTAGGAGGCACTGCTAAGGTCTTGCTGGCCTTGCCTCTGCTTTGTGTTAAGCCACACAGCTAACAAATGGTGAGATTGGGATTTGAACTCTGATGGGTTTGACCCCAAGCCTGTGTTCTAACAATTTTGAAGTACTGCCACTCAACTGATGAGGAAAGTGAGATGGACTTCTAAGCGTTGGCATAAGAGTAGGGGTGAGGGAGGTTGGTGGTCTGTTCCCTTGGACTTGTGTCTCAACCCAAAAAGCTACATTTAGACGGCTTTCCTATCTCCTGCATGAATCCCTTGCAAAGCAGTGCCAACAGTTAGTTAGCCAGTCATCTTTTCAAGTTGCTAGAGTAATGGGGAGCATATCTATAACACATCCTTCTAATGCTTGTTAAAAAGTGCTTTTGTTGCAAAGTTCTTCTGTTTTTTTTTTTTTTTTTGACCCCTGTCTTGGTCTCCCCAGCCCAACTTTCTGCCTCTGGTTGGACTGATAATTTGTCCTGGTAACTGCTGCTTACGATGTGGTCTGCCTGGCCAAAGATGCCTGTGAAGGCTACTCAACCACATGTGGAGTTAACTCTTGATTGAGTTGATGAATCAGCCACTTCACCTATTCAACAGATGTGACTGTTTTGTCTTTCTGGTTTTAAAGGATTTCTGGAGGGCTATGGCTTTACCCTTTTAGAGAGAACTATTGGTCCTCATACTCTGTGTACCTCTGATGTCGGCATGGGATTTCTACAATTCCAAGCAAGAGCTGCAGCCATTTGATGGGCAGTGCCCCAGTCTGGGGCCTTTGTGGAATCCAGCTAGCATATTGTAGCCAATGTGGCAACCTCAATAGTTTTGATCATGTTCCTACTGTCCTGGGTGGTGAAAATATCCCCTTTATGTGTCCTTGGGAGAAAGATCCTTTCTAAAGAGTGATACCTGATAGAGACCACTATAGGACAAGGCACTCAGAAGGGGCAGGGATAGAATCGTATCTGAGCTTGGTCCAATATGAAAAGCCTAAGGCTAGGTGCGGTGGCCCATGCTTATAATCACAGCACTTTGGGAGGCCAAGGCAGGCGGACTGCTTGAGCTCAGGCGTTCAAGACCAGCCTGGCCAAAATGGTGAAAGTCTGTTTCTACTAAAAATAAAAACCTTAGCCAGGTGTGGTGGTGGGTACCTGTAATTCCAGCTACTTGGGAGGCTGAGGCAGGAGAATCCCTTGAGCCCTGGAGACAGAGATTGCAGTGAGCTGAGATCACATCACTGTACTCCAGCCTGGGTGACAGACTGAGACTCTGTCTCAAAAAGAAAAAAGCCAAGCCTGAGTGGCATCAAACCTTTGTTTCCCATGTATATTAGTCCCTGCTTGATGGACTCTCACCTGGGAACAGGGCCAAACAGGGAGTTACAGTCAAGCCAGAAGTGGGAGATTTGCAAGCCTGACCCGAGGGATAGTCCCGATCTAGTCTCATATTCTTGTAACCATCGAGGTGAGCTGTTGGACAGACCATTCTTATATCACCTTCCTTCCTTGGCTGCCTGGAAAGCTTACTTGCTGATTTGTCTTCCACTCCTTTGCCTTTTCTGCATAGGCATGTTAGGCCATTTCATGAACTCAGCCCATATTGCCAGACCCATGAAGTATATAGGGTATGACTTCTTGAGTGAGGAGGTCTAATGCCAACACTACTTTTTTTTTTTTTTTTTTTAAAGATAGGGTCTGGCTCTGTTACCTAGACTGCAGTTCAGTAGTGGTGCAATCTCAGCTTGCTCACAGCAACAACCTCCACGTTAAGGGCTCAAGCCATCTTCCTACCTCAGCCTCCCAAGTAGCTGGGACTACAGATGTGCGCTACCATACCCAGGTAATTTTTGTATTTTTTGTAGAGTCGGAGTTTCACCACGTTGCCAGGCTGGTCTCAAACTCTTGAGCTCGAGTGATCCACTCAACTTGGCTTTCCAAAGTGCTGGGATTATGGGTGTGAGCTATTATGCCTGGCTGAAAACCTCATTTCTATAGCTGCACTCAATCTATGTGGTTTTCACAAAAGGGCACTGCCAGGGTGTAATTTTGCATGTAAGCCCAAAATCTCAAGCTGGGAGGTCCCAGCCTACAGGCCAGTGGACGTTCCCTGAATGCCTCATGCAAAACTCAGTTTGCAAGAGACTCCTCCTAAACAGATGACTTGGCCTACCCACACTCCAGAGAAATCTGAAGAATAAAAGTTAGTGAGCTAGTCCTAAATTCTGCTTTCTTTAAAAAAAAAAAAAAAAAAAAAAAGCCAAAACAACAAAACCCCCAGCTCACTAATATGGGTTAGCTTGCTGTCATTTAACAAATTGTCAGAAATTGTAAACTCTCTCAAGAGCTACAGGACAGGAAATCCTCTCTCTAAAGCCATACCTAGTATGAACAATAGGATGACTACCACAAGCCTGATTTTGAATAGTTTATTAAAGGAAAGGTGAAGCATCAGTTTCAAATTGTACAAAAGGAAAAAAACCTCATATTGCAAATGTACAATTTACAGAATTACTAGCAAAACCAATCAAGGAGACACCGAAAATACAAAAATTTGATTGACTTCAAACTGAACTGGAAACCCATTGGAGTAGATATTAAGCCTTTTTTGTGTGTGGCATGGTAGTCTACCAATTGTCGGCGTCTGTTTTCGATACGAGACTGTCACACAAAGCATCAGTTTGTGCATGTGCCAGGGCACCTCATGGCTTGCTCCCCAGCCAAAACCACAGGGAGGCAGGGCTGGGGTAGACAGTCCAGTCATTCCTGCGCCTTCACTTCCAGTGAGCCCACAATTCTGGGAGAAATTGATGCCCCAGCTCCCCTAACCAACTGGAGCCCAAGAATTGCTGAATTAGCAGAGAAAACATTTTTGGTGACCAAGTTTTTTCAGAACTGTACAAATGTTGAGAAAAATGTTTCGTGTCTGTTTACTAAAAGGATGAATAAAATCATCCATCTTGCTTTCCCGCACAAAAGATGATCACTGGGTGCGCAGAATTTTTAAAAACGTTTTTCGTATTTCATAAAAAGGGAAAGCCTCATGATTCTGTTGCAGCTACTTTAAAAACCAGCCCAGAACAGCTGTGGATGGATTGGTTTGGAAATTCTGAGGCTTACTTTAGAAATCCGAAAGGAAGAAACTAAGCGGGCTTTAAAAAACAATAGCAGCAAGTCGTAAGAGTCTAGGCAGAATGTAACTCTAAACCATTGTAGACGGTCCTGAAGATTAATAATTTCTTTCCCCAAAAAAAGTATTCTTAATATGCACATTTAACACTGAAATGTAGCTGTAATTCAAGGTAAGCTTAGGAACTTCACCCTCTAAGCACAGACTTCTATGCGGCACATACTTCTATAATCAGTAAACTTAATTCACAAAATTAGCGCATAAGGGTATTAAGTGCATGGGAAGTAGACACAGTTATGTTACACTTAAAATTACTTTTGAATGATAAAGGATTTCTTCATGATTATCTTAAGAAAATGGAAATCTGTGTAACTTGAATTTGGCAGGGCATGAAATAAGTGGTAAAAACAGCAAACTGATAACTTGAGAATCATTTTTGTTTTACTGAGAATACTTTATTTGCTGGTAGAAGTTGCTAAAAATGCACAGAACAAATACCAATAGAAAATGCACTGTATTCGAATCTCCCTAGTCTATATAAAATGAACGGTGTACAGCATCTGTTGGAAAAATGGCTGCAAGGACATTTCTTATTTTATGCCCACTTATAAATAAAAATAAACCTTTTTATTCAAGAGTATATAAAATCTGGGAATTCATATCCATATCCACAGAGGGTGTGTGGTTTTTGGCAGAGATGCACTGTATCAGAATTTCATCTTAGCTTGTCAGTGTTCTGCTCCTTCATATTTGTGTTCCACAAGGTCAACCAAATCCAGTGAGCTCCAAAACACTCTTCAGCAATTAGGATGAGCTGCTTACTCATAGGTTTAATAAAAATGGTTAGCTTTTAAAACATAAAAAGGCAAAATGTTAAAACGGTTTTAAATTGTACAACAGGAAAATAAAGTTAAAAATATTTTTTTTTTTACTCAATGTTGAGTTTTCATAAAACAGGTGTATAACAGTGTTTATCTTGACAGCTGTTTTAAAAATTTAAAATTTCTTCCTCCCTCCAGAAAAACACACACATCTGTATTGGGATAAGTCCAATAGTAGGACTCAAATGATTTTCAGGTCAGTCTTTCTGAGTTGACATTCACCAACATTCCCTTGGGTAATTTACATGCTCCTCTTCTGTCACTGCAAAAAGGAACTGACCTTAATCATTTGATTAAAAAACAAATCAGATCACATCAAAAGTGTTTTTCCCCATACAAGCTATCACAGTATATAGGCCTCTAGCTCTAAATAATAGAGTTCCAGATTTGTAAATTTTCTTCAGACTTCAGAACATAGGCATTCCAAATCCCTAGAAAAATGATGAGAAACATAATTATTAATTTCATGCATAAACAGGACCCAGAAACCATAAACAAAAAGTAGTAATTAACATTTACTGAATCATCTTCTATGATAGCTGCAGAGTCAAAGAAGTCTGGCCTTAGCTCAGCTCTCTCGCGCCGATTTCTTGATGGAGGCTAGAAAGAGAAATTGGTTTCTTAGTTTTTTCCTGAAATTAAGACAATGAATTGTGATAATCAGCTAATATTTCTGACAGTATCATAAATACATAGAACTGCTAAGAGTCAATTTTGAAAGGAAGAAGATAATCTGGCTTTTATATGAAACAGATTTTTAAAATAACAGTACTTCTGGCTTTTAATTATGTTGGCAAAAACAATGTGAAAAACTTCCAAGTTATAATGAATAAACTGAACATGTAAATACATATAAATACCTTTGGGCCTATATGCCCAGGACATATCTTCCCTTTAAAGTCACAGAAAAATTATAAAATTGATTAAATACTAGGTGATAAACCTCTGTGAATTCCCCAAAGCAGGTAAATGGAAAGGTGGGAGGTGGGAGGTTACAGATTGGAGTAATACAGATTGGAGTAATATCTCATTTATATTTGCAAAACTTACAAAAGCTTTTCATTATGGAAAATTCACAACATACAAAGCAGAATGTTATGGGCTGAATTATGTCCCTTTAAAATGTGTATGTTGAAGTCCTAATTCAGTACCTCAGAACACACCAGTATTTGGTGACGGGACCTTTAAAGAGGTAATTAAGGTAAAATGAGGTCATATGGGTGTGCCCTAATTGAATATAGTTGGGGCCCTTATAAGAAGGGGAGACACACATACAGGAAAGACCATCTAACGGCAAAGGAAGAAGGCAGCCATCTACAAGCCAAGAAGAGAAGCCCCAAAAGAAATAACCTTCATCTTGAGACTTCTAGCTTCCAGAAATGTGATAAAAAAATTAATTTCTGGGCTAGGTACGGTGGCTCACACCTGTAATCCCAGCACTTTGGAAGGCCAAGGTGGGCAGATCACAAGGTCAAGAGAGACCATCCTGGCCAACATGGTGAAACCTGGTCTCTACTAAAAATTCAAAAATTAGCTGGGCACGATGGCACATGCCTGTAGTCCCAGCTATTCGGGAGGCTGAGGAGGAGAATCGCTTGAACCTGGGAGGTGGAGGTTGCAGTGAGCCGAGATGGCACCACTGCACTCCAGGCTGGGTGACAGAGGGAGACTCCTCCTCAAAAATAAATAAATAAATTTCTGTTTAAATCACTCTGTCTGTGGTATTTAAGGCAGCCTTAGCAAATACACAGAAAAAACAATGATGAATTTCTATGTATCCATCACCCAGTTTCAAAAATTTTCAAACATTTGGCCAGTCCTGTTCTACTGAGTCTGTCTTTTCTTCCCTATGTAATTAATTTCACCTGTAACTACTTCAATGTGTTGTCTATAACTGATGAGAGCTTTTGAAAAAACATAACCACCATGCATTATTCCTAAAAAAAAAAATAAGTTCTTTGTATCATCTATGGTTATAATATCTCAAACACGTCCATATCTCAGACATGTCTTTTCATACTGAATAAGTCCCATATTAGGCATTTAGTTATGCTGAAGCACAGTGGATTTTTGTCAGGCTCAAATTTAAAGCACAAGAGGCCAGATATACATGCTGTGCTGAGACGGAGATCTGGTATGAGTTCTCTTCTAAGAAGGTAAAAAGAAAGAACCAGTTTCTGTTATTGCCAGAATTCAAAATATGACTGCTTTGAAAGCAGGCTTGAAAAACATCCAAGCTCATCCAAATGCCCACTGTTTTGGTCAATGTTACCTCCTCCTCATCTCACCCTTCCTCCCAGAATTCTGAGAGTAAGAGGATTTTTTTTTTTTTTTTGAGACTGAGTTTTGGTCTTGTTGCCCAGGCTGAAATGTAATGGCACGATCTCGACTTACGCAACCCTCTGCCCGCTGGGTTCAAGCTATTCTCCTGCCTCAGCCTCCCGAGTAGCTGGAATTACAGGGGTTTGCCCCCCTGCCCCCCTATTTTTTTTTTTTTTTTTTTTTTTTTTTTTTTTGAGACGGAGTTTCACTCTTGTTACCCAGGCTGGAGTGCAATGGCGCGGTCTCGGCTCACCGCAACCTCCGCCTCCTGGGTTCAGGCAATTCTCCTGCCTCAGCCTCCTGAGTAGCTGGGATTACAGGCACGCGCCACCATGCCCAGCTAATTTTTTTTTTGTATTTTAAGTAGAGACGGGGTTTCACCATGTTGACCATCCTGGTCTCGATCTCTTGACCTCGTGATCCACCCGCCTTGGCCTCCCAAAGTGCTGGGATTACAGGCGTGAGCCACCGCGCCCGGCCTGCTAATTCTGTATTTTTAGTAGAGATGGGTTTTCTCCATGTTGGTCAGGCTGGTCTCAAACTCCCAACCTCAGGTGATCCACCCGCCTTGGCCTCCCAAAGTGCTGGGATTGTAGGTGTGAGCCACCGTGCTTGGCCTAAGAGGATCACCTTACACCAATGCCCCCACATATTTTAACAAAAGAAAAATGTAATTTCTCTACCAGATCGATAACCATGGTGTCCTCAAATTCTTCATTCATATCTTCTAACTGGCTTCGGGATGACATCATCACATCTTCAAAGATGGGCTCAGCATCTTCCTCCATTAGACCCCGACTAATAAGAAAAAGGTATAGTCAGAAAGCTAATCAGACTCCACCATTTGGAGGCCTGGCTGTTTCTCAGATTAGCTCTTCTAACCAACTGAAGTATACCTTCTAATCATGACCTGCAGACTACACAAATTATTATACTGAACCCCAAGACAATTTAGAATCATTCCTTTGGTTCATTCAAGATTTCATCTCACACATCAAATGGAAGTACAATTTTAGATTGAATTAACAATGGTTGTTAACATTTATTTAGCTATGTGTCAATTCCTCTAAAATTCTTATTGGTACTATTATCATACTAATTTTACAAATGAGGAAACTTTGTTTTTTGTTATTTTTTGAGACAGAGTCTCGCTCTGTCACCCAGGTTGGAGTGCAGTGGTGCAATCTAACTTCACTGCAACGTCTGCCTGGGTTTACGCAATTCTCCTTCCTCAGCCCCGAGTACCTTGGATTTGGGTGCCCGCCACCATGCCTGGCTAATTTTTGTACTTTTAGTAGAGATGGGGTTTCACTATGTTGGCCAGGCTGGTCTTGAACTCCTCACCTCAAGTTATCTGCCCACCTTGGCCTCCCAAAGTGCTGCGATTACAGGTGTGAGACACCATGTCCAGCCAGCACAGATGTTTTAGAGCGTGCCCATGGCCATGCAGCTGCCAAGGGGCAGAGCTAGGATTTAAATGCTGAAAGTATTAAGAACCCATTGCCCTCCCTTCCTATCCTATGCTGCATAGCATAACAAGAATTGTAATTTTAACTCCTAAGACCAAACATCAAAGATACCTAAGTCATTTCACAAAATAATGGGCATCACATAGTTGTTAGGTTCTTGTGATACTCAATGTAACACTTACACAGCATGCCTCACTCCAGTTCTCACTTTCATGTAGTTCATTCCTGTTCTGTCCTTCCGATTTAAGTCTTCTAACTTCGGCTGGCCTAACCAAGAGATCTGCATCTGAGGACTAAAAGAGGATGCTATTAATTTTGTAGCAGCAGATGATGAATTTAGCTAATGAGCTTCCATGCTGAGAAAGCCAAGGTAGGTTCACTTAATCCCATGTAGGAGAAATTAGCTGGATTTATTCTGGTGCCTTTTTATAAAAAAGGCAGTAAGTTGCCCAAAGATAGCCATAAGTCTCCAAAAGAAGCTGGCTGAGGCTAATGGTTAGATGCTTAAACTATCGACCTTGTTCCCCAAATCTCTGCCAAACAAGGGTTCTCAGACCTCTGTCTTGGGCTGCTGCCCCACTCACAGGTGTACCTAGCTGGATGGCAGACCCCTAACTAACAGAAATTATGTTGGTCTGGCAGCTGAAGCTCTCCAGAATTCAGCAAGGAAGAATATAGCATCTTTTCTCAGTCTTTATGGAGTCAAATCTCTACTTGTATTCTAAAACTTACTGTCACATGGAAATGTGCGTCAACATGCCTCTTAGGAATTTTTTTTTTTTTTTTTTTTAAAGACAGGGTCTCACTCTGTCACCTAGGCTGGAATGCAGTGGTACGATCTCAGCTCACTATAACCTCTGCCTCTCAGGATCCAGTGATCCTTGCACCTCAGCCTCCCGAGTAGCTGAGACCACAGGCATGTGGCACCACGCCTGGCTAATTTTCTTTTTTTGTTGTTGAGACAGTCTCACTATGTCACCCACGCTGGGGTGCAGTGGTGCAATTTTGGCTCACTGCAACCTCTACCTCCTGAGTGCAAGCAATTCTTATTCCTTAGCCTTCTGAGTAGTTGGGATCACAGGCATATGCCTGGCTAATTTTTGTATATTTTTGCAGAGATGGGGTTTTACCATGTTGCCCAGGTTGGTCTCGAACTCCTGAACTCAAGTTATCACACGCCTCAGCCTCCCAAAGTGCTGGGATTAAAGGTGAGAGCCACCATGTCCAGCCAGGAATTTTATAGGATGTGAACTTCAGTGATTTTTTAGCTAATACAAACTGCCACATGAAGTTGTGTCTAAGTAACTGTCTTTATATCATGTGGTACTAAAACCTATAAACCTGGAACAGGGAAAATAAGGCAGACCATGGCCACTGGGACTGACAAATGGTAAGGTCAGAGAGGCAAGGCAGGCTGCTAAAACAAGGAGAAACTCACCTTGTAGGAAAAGGGGTGAGGATACTGGTTAGGTAACCCATCTAGGGATGCTGGCCATAAGGCAAACCACCTTCTAGGACACTCAGCAGCACAAGAATGCCCAGTTGTACCATGGCGGACAGTGAGTATCCTCTTGGGTTTGAAGGCTGATCCTTCAGAGCAAAGGGGCCTTACGAAAACCCAGGATTTGATACTTCTAACACTGTCTCTATTTTCAGGCTAACTAAATTTGTTCAAGTAAGAGTTCTTCCTCTTATCCATCAGAGTAATTCACAGCATTACCTCACTATACACAGAAACACGAGGATCTCAGAGAATTTCAAAGTTGGATGGAAAACAACAATAAGTTAAGATTTCTATAAGCAAAACACACCATCACTCTCTGCCTTCTCTACAATTTTCTGTGTACTAGAAAACATTTTAATTTCAAGCATTGAGAAAAGTAAGACCTTGATTCTCTTTTTGAGGGCAACTATTCTCAGAATTTATCAAGTTAGATTTTAAAAATTCTTAATCCATGAGAAGTTTGAGTTTAAAATATAAATGTAACAAAACAAAATATTAATTAAATGGATGATAAAGGTAATACAGTCATAAGCTCTTATAGGTTTTCAAGGAAGTAACCTGCATTATCTTCTGGGCAAGTCCCTGAGAAGAAACAGACCTGTCCAATGAAAATGCGCATTCAAACTAAAATTAGCACTTAGTAAGACACCATACATTTAAAGATCTGTGAACTTCCAGGAACTGATATCCCCAACAATGTTTGCAGACTTTTTATAGTTCTTCTCATATAAAGTGCTTACCCTTTGTTTGTGGCTTCATTTCTCATGAATTAAGTGACCAGTAATATGTTCTCATGAACAAATAAAGTTTTTATTAAATAGTTTTACTTTCTTTAAATATATATATTTTTTTTGCCAAGAAGACTAATTTTTGCTACTTACTTGTGTAAAAAGTCTGGTTCAGAACCATGTTCAGACTCGGGCTCTTGAATTTGCTCTCCCATGGGCCGGCTGTTCTCCCGAAGTACAGTAGATGTGAGCTGTGGTGCTGGCAGGGGGCCAGGTGTCTGAATCATGGTGTCAGTCCTGTTTAGCCATGTGTTATCCAGACTCTCATCTGTAAAATTCCAGTTAGGGTCACAGAATGTCGTGGGTAGAGTGAACTCTGGTGACAGTTACAGAGTTGTGAAGAGTGTGGCTCTGCAATTAGAACTGCCTATTTTAAATCCCAGTTCCACCACTTATTTATATGACTTTGTATAAGTCATTAAACTTCCAAAGTTGAGTTTTCTCATATATACAATGGGGACTTCATTACCTAATCTCACAAAGTTGTAGGGACTAAATGAGGTAATGTATGTAACCACTGAATGTTAGCTATCATCACATCATCATCTCTGTAAGTCCCTCCATCTCTAAAGATTCATTCATCCTAGAGGAAGATTGCAGCCAGCCGGAGACCTCTCCTGCTTTTCTTTGCTGAAGCAACAAAAGGCCTATTTCCTGGGCCTGGAAGGGGTTCCAGTCAGCAGCAATTAAAGTCTGATTGGCTTTTGTGGAGAAATAAGCAAATCCCTTGACACAACTGGACAATGATCAATAACTTTTTGCCAAGTTATACATGTGGAGATGGGTTGAGAGGTATACCATTTTCATGCCTCTATGTCTTTCAGAGAAGCCTTCCCTGATTACCCCTACCCAATTCCCATTTACCATTCTTTAAAAATATATTTTTTTAAGATAGAATCTTGCTCTGTTGCCCAGGCTGGAGTGCAGTGGTGAGATCTCAGCTCACTGCAACCTCTGCCTCTGGGTTCAAGTGATTCTACTGACTTAGCCTCTCAAGCAGCTGGGATTACAGGCACCAACCACCACACCCAGCTCATTTTTGTATTTTTAGTAGAGATGGGGTTTCATCATGTTGGCCAGGCTGGTCTCAAACTCCTGACCTCAGGTGATCCACCTGACTTCGCCTCCCACAAGTGCTGGCATTACAAGCGTGCACCGCTGCACCCAGGTGAAGATGGTTTATAAAGATTTGAGCAGATTAAAGCATTATTCACAAACTATCCTGATAAAATATTACCTAAAATTTTTTTTTTTTTTTTTTTTTTTTAAGATGGGGTTTTGCTGTGTTGCCTAGGTTGATCTCAAACTCCTGAGCTCAAAGCAATCCACCCATCTCCCAAAGTGCTGGGATTAAAGGCATGAGCTACTATCCTCGGCCAAGTTTCTACAAACATTCTAAATTATTCTAAATATGATAAGGCTTCTTAAAAAGTATCACTGCTTTGGTTTTCCTTCTCAAGAATTTTAATCACAATATATAGTATGAATCCCATTGCTTTTCCTCTCCTTAAGTCTCAGAGATGTGTGTGTTAGGTTCCTCCTTTGCCATCGAGCATCCTATTTCTCAGGTTTCTGATATTTTGTTAGACACATATGTACATTCTAGATTGGCTTTTCTGTGCTTGGAAATACCCATTGTCTGGTTAACTTAATTCCTCTAATCTGAAGCTCACTACGGAATCTCTTCTGAGTTAACAAAGACATGTTTCATCATCTATTCATAACACTTCATTCAACATTTAATTCAAAACTTTTATTTTCTATGACACTTAAAATTTTATGATAAAAAGATTATCATCACTTAGGTTCTGAACCTGGTAAACTCATCTGTCAGCTGTCTACTACGTCATCTTTTCCAGAAAAATTTTCCTGTATTCATGAAAAGTTTAGTCACTGTCTGTATGTTCCCAGAACCACCTGTGTTTGGTGCATCAGAGCATTGACCATGGTGAAATCAAACAGCCTGTTTCTGTTCTCTCGCTTCCTATCTGCACTCACAGCAGATTAATACCTAATCTGTAGCAACTAGCACAATTCTTAGGAAGGCACTTGGCAGAATCTTACTGAATGAATGGATAACTCCAGGAAGAACTCACTCATCTTAAACAGATGCTTCTAATCCTTTGGAGATTCCTCAATGAAAATATTTCTTGTAATACTTTCTCATTTCCATCTCTGAAGGATGAAACTCTGCAGCCTAAGGGTTCTGCAATGCAACCCATCTTAATCATTTTGTAAATCTCAAATGACAAAGAAGTTTTTTCTTTTTTGTAATTTAAATAAATTAAGTTATCTAGTCCACATAAGCTTCTCTTAATCTTGAAAATGATATTGACTGCACCATTAGTGAACATTATGGCTATTTAAATTATCTAAGCTTTGGTTTCTTTTGTCAAAAATTTAGATAATAGCATTGACTTATAAGACATTTATATACTTACGTGTCATTCACTATGTGTCAGAGACGACCTAAGTGCTTTACAAATATTAGTCAAATAAATGATTAAGTGATATAACCGATGTTAAAACGTGTTCCTAGTACATAGCAAAGATTTGATGAATGTTGGCTAATAAGAATATTACATTCAAGGCTGGGCGTGGTGGCTCACGCTTGTAATCCCAGCACCCTGGGAGGCCGAGGCGGGTGGATTACCTGAGGTCAGCAGTTCAAGACCAACCTGGCCAACATGGTGAAACCCTGTCTCTATTAAANAAAAAAAAAAAAAAAAAAAAAAAAAAAAAATTACACTGAAGAACGGCCAGGCACGGTGTCTCATGCCTGTAATCCTAACACTCTGGGAGGCTGAGGCATGTGGATCACTTGAGTCCAGGAGTTCAAGACCAGCCTAGGTAACATGTGAAACCTAGGCTGAAACCCTGTCTCTACAAAAAATACAAAAATTATCCAGGTGTGGTGGTGCACGCCTATAGTCCCAGCTAGTTGGGGGCTGAGGTGGGAGAATTGCTTAAGCCAGGGAGCCTGCAGCTGGAAAACACTCCAGCCTTGGCGACAGAGTGAGATCCTGTCTCTCTAAAACAAAACAAAACAAAAAAACGCCAGGTGTAGTGGGTCAAGCCTATAATCTCAGCACTTTGAGAAGCCAAAGTAAGTGGATCACTTGAGGTCAGGAGTTCGAGACCAGCCTGGCCAAGATGGCGAACCCCTGTCTCTACTAAAAATGCAAATATTAGCTGAGTGTGGTGGTGGGTGCCTGTGATCCCAGCTACTAGGGAGTCTGAGGCAGAAGAGTAACTTGAACCTGGGAGGCGGAGGTTGCAGTGAGCCAAGATCAGGCCATTGCACTACAGCATGGGAAACAAGAGGGAGGAGACCCCCATCTTATAAAAATAGGGAAAATGCCTGTAGTCATCCTTTAGAGAAAAGTCCAGGCTCCAATATTACAAAGACAAGATTTTACATTTTCTTTCTCTGGACTTTTAAAAAAGACTTTGAAGGCCGGGTGCGGTGGCTCATGCCTCTAATCCTAACACTTTAGGAGGCTGAGGCAGGAGAATTGTTTGAACCCAGGAGGCAATTACTTGAACTTGCGCCATTGCACTCCAGCCTGGGGGACAAGAGCGAGACTTCGTATAAAAAAACAAACAAACAAACAAAAAAAAACAAAAAAACTTTTAAGTCCCAAACCTGTAATTTGAAAGGAAATCTTAAACTTTGGCGAGATTTTATTAAACTTAACAGTAACATTTATATTCTTTTATTCCTTTTGAAATACAGTTGTTTCCTATGAACTAGAAGTTAAAAAAAGAAAAGAAATATAGATGCTGCCTAGTTTACTGACTGATGCTATATATGAGGCATTACTATACAATGGTAACATTTGGATAATTTATTGAATGCTATCTATGTGCCAAGCACTGTGCTTATTAGTACTTTGTATGTACTAAATGGTTTATTTGTAGTATCTCATTTAATATTCACAGAGTAACTGACATGAGAAATACTCTGCTCATCCTTCATTTGATCAATGATTGAAACTTAGAGAGGTTAAGTAATATACTCAAAGGTCACATAGCTGATAATGAGAAGGCTAGGTATGCATTTTGGAACTCTGATGTTATAATTTATGGGATCATCAGTAGTCAATACTGTCTCCCCAATAATGAAAAGAATCATTAGATTTAAATTCGAATTAATTTGCCACAGATTTTAGCCAAACCTTTAGTGAGTAATTTTTTTAGGCAGCACAGGTAAGATGCTAAAAGAGAAGAAGTTATAAAAAGAACAAGAGAGAGAACTCAGATCACAGCCCTCCACTTGGTTTAGAGAAAATTTATTAGAAGCATGGAGAAAGGGGAAGATTATTTGAGAAAATAAGCATTTTTTCTTTGAGGCTTCTCAGTAATTTTAATAGGAATGCTTTGTTTTAACAGAGCAATTTTTAGTTTTTTTTAGATATAGGAATACCTACTATTGATCAGATTTTCATGACACTTTAACTTCCCATTCCCCAGAGTCCAAGAGGCTTATAAAACCAGATTTAGCCATTACTGCCTTTATAAATAAATTAAATAATGGGCTGGCTGGGCATAGTGGCTCACGCCTGTAACCCCAACACTTTGAGAGGCCGAGGTGGGCAGATCATGAGGTCAAGAGATTGAAATCATCCTGGCCAACATGGTGAAACCCTGTCTTTAAAAATACAAAAATTAGCTGGGTGTGGTGGTACGCGCCTGTAGTCCCAGCTACTCGGGAGGCTGAGGCAGGATAATTGCTTGAACCTGGGAAGCAGAGGTTGCAGTGAGATGAGATCGTGCCACTGAACTCCAGCCTGGTGACAGAGCGAGACTCCATCTCAAAAAAAAAAAAGATTAAATGATGGGAGTCTCGCTCTATCACCCAGGCTGGAGTGCAGTGGCATGATCATAGCTCACTGCAACCTCAAACTTCTGGGCTCAAGTGATTCTCCTACCTCAGCTTCCCAAGTAGCTGGGACTACAGCTGCATGCCACCAATTTTTAACAAAATTTTTCTTAGAGGTGGGAGTCTCGCTATGTTTCCCAGGCTGGTCTCAAATTTCCAGCCTCAACTTCCTGATCCTCCTGCCTCAGCCTCCCAAGTAACTGGGATTACAGGTGTGAGGCACCAAACCTGGAGGCCATCACTGTCTTACTGTTCCAACCAAGTGGTAAACTGGAAAACTATTCTGGTGGTATATTCAATTTGCTGCAGAAATCTACCCTCACATTATCTGTATCTCACCTATGTTAGGAAGAATTTTAATGCAATAGCATTGTGACTATGGGGATTGACTTTATAGACCTAGCTAATTGTTTCCTCTTGCTCTGTCCTCCTTTATGCTCCATGCTTCTTCAACTTCTTTTTCCTTGACCCTTTTCTGTCTTACTTTGTCTATTCCAATCTTTTTGCCTTAACATCTCAGTGTGAATCAAATATACAAAGAAATCATGTGCCTAATACTATTACCTTGCTTCAACAGATTATTTGCTACTTTATAAAACCAGACAAATTGTTTGTCTCACAATATAAAGGCAGACTTACCTTCTACTCTTTTTTTATGAAGTGGGGGTCGTCCTTTCTTATTCCTTACTGATGAAGTTTTGCTGCTACTGCTTCCACTGTTCACAGACATTCTATCATCTTCACCCCCAGTGACTAATGAATTTCTATAGGAGATGAGTGGAAGCCATACATCTTCCCTCCTTTCCATCATCTGCTCGGTAAGGAATTTCTCTAAGTATGAATGGCTAGAAACACAATAAAAATACCAGTGATTTTCATGGAAGCAGATCACATATCACTTACTTTTTCTTAATCTGAGGCTCTCTTTCTGCAGGTTCTGAAGAATACCTAAGGACACATAATTAAACTATTAACAATGGTCACCTTTGGAAAGAGGGGGACTGAGAAGTTAAGGTTTTGCTTCACAAATTCCTGGGATACTTAAAAGCAAGAGAGTGTATTACCTAAAGGTGTGTATATATGTATGGTCTTTCCTATATTCTTCCTGTGCTTTTAAACATCAATGTTAAAAAAAAATCGAAGTTTAGCTCAAAAGGATTATTGAGTTTTCTTATAAAGTGTTCAAGCCAAGCAGGATTTCTAAGATGGTGGAGTAAGGAGGCTGGCGTACCCTCTTTCCAGCAAAACAACATTTTAACTGATAAAAACTATAAAATACAATAATTTAAAGTCTCTGCAAATTGTCTTAAGGGCATACAGCAAATGGAGAAAAATTTATTCAAGAAAATTTGGCCAGGTGCGGTGGCTCACACCTGTAATCCCAGCACTTTGGGAGGCCAAGGCGGTTGGATGACGAGGTCAGGAGTTCAAGACCAACCTGCCAACATGGTGAAACCCCATCTCTACAAAAAAATTAGCTGGGTATGGTGGCACATGCTTGTAATCTCAGCTACTCACGAGGCTGAGGCAGGAGAATCGCTTGAACCTGGGAGGCAGAGGTTGCAGTGAGATGAGATGGTGCCACTGCACTCCAGCCTGGGCAACAGAGGAAGACTCTGTCTCAAAAAACAAACAAAAAACTAATACATTTTGGTAAGAACACAGAAGTTTGTAGCATTTGATCTACAACCTGTTCCTTTCCCTTGTTTCCTCCTCCCTGGCACTACAGCTCTGTGTTTTAGAAACTCTATCTAGTCCAGGCAGGTGGCCAAGAAGATGGGGGTTCCCTCTCTCTCTAGTTCTCAGGCTACCCTGAAACAAAGAAGCATACCATTTGCATTTCTCATCACCTCCCAGCCCTGTGTTGTGTAAATTCTATTCTGAACAGCAACCAGGAAAAACGAAGCTCCTTTTATCCCACCTAGCCTCCATTCCTGGGGTAAAACATACCCTGGGCACAGCAGGCTGAGAACACTGGGGCCCTGAATGTCCCACCTCGAACTCCCTGTTGAGAGATTCCATACCTAGGGCAAGCGGAGAACCAGGAGTTATCCACCCTCTACCTTGCTCAAAGAGCCAGAGATCTTATTCTGGGAGAAGAGGGACGCTGTCCCATCCCATCCTATTCTGCCCTCCTCCCCATTTCAGTGGCATAAAAGTTCAAGTTCTGCCTGGTAGCTGAGGCTGACTATAAAGAAGAAACTCTGCAGCTGGAGAGAGGAGTGAGGAGGAAAGGGGTGGTGATGACTTTATTTGGAATGAAATGCAGAAAATTCCTTTCTTAAGGGTGTTGACAACAGAGATCTTGATGGAGTGCAAATGAGAGGGTGCTGGTAGTTCTTTGACACTAGCAGCAACAAATGACAGAGCAAAGCAGCCGGAAGTTCAAGAGAAAACCAGAGAAAGAGACAGCCAAGAAGAATCTTCCTAGAGTCACAGTCAATCCTGGGAGTTGGACATGTTAACTAACTGACTGTAGTAATCATTTTATAACATATATGTGTATTGAAACAGCATAAATACTCCTTAAATATATATTATTTTTTAAAAGGAAGGAAAAAAGCTTTAAAAACAAAGTGATTCTTCATTTCAGCAGCTCCCTTTGATTCATCTGAATACAGCCTACCAAATCCTCCACTGTGCATATGTATCTATATCTACATATCTATATCTCAGCACTGAAAGAATGCTTTATCACCAATCTTTGATGGTTATTAATAGGTTGCTGAGCTAACTTGGCATTTCATATGTTTCTTCTTATATGAAAGAAAGATAATATTTTATTGTTATTGATCTGCTTAAGGAATTGCTGCGCTTAAAGTTTCTTTTGTTTATAGGTTTCAAATTTTGTGAACTTATCTGTTTATCCATTAAGCATATTTGGAACAGGTTAAAAAAATAAAATAAAAAAAGTTTAATTTTTTGGGAGTTGGGAAAGCTATGCACATATCCTAAGCTGCATTCACTCATGGGCAAACAAGGCAAGGGAATGAATGAGGCAGACTTGAAAGCATTCCCCAAGCCACACACAGATCTATCAACATAGGGAGGAAGCTTCACTGGCAAAAGTGGTTTAAACACAACCTCTCATCAAACAGTGGCTAAACAAAAAGCTATTCTTATCCAGGGAGCAACTCCTAGGAAGCCAGGCTTAAAATAAAATAATGTGCTTTCCTGGTTGTCTGAAGACTGTGAACACCCAAGGCTGCCCTTCTCAGGAACAATCAGAGAAGTATCTTCCAAGCTGCTAGTCCTTGGCCTAAAATGTGGGTCAAAAAAGTAAATACCCTGAATTATGAAAGTAGCTTGCAAGCCATACATACATCTAACGGTAAAGGTTAAACCTAACTGACTAAGGGGCTTAAGCAGAACCTCTGATCAGTAAGTGGCTTATGCTAACCCAAGAGTGACCCCCTCAGTAGCCAAAACAAATGATAAAAACCAAGGAAAAAGGATCTGAGCGAAGACATCAGAGGCTGCACAAGGCAGAGAAAATAGATTTCAGAGTTTGTTCATCCAAGGAACTAAACAAATAAATGAGCAACAAAATAATAATATCAACCTCTAGAGGGCAGATAATTAGCAAACAGTAGATATTTCATAATATATCATTTTTGCTATATGTGTGTGTGTGTGTGTGTGTGTGTGTGTGTGTGTATATATATATATATATTTTTTTTTTTTTTTTTTTTTTTTTTCTCCTTAGGACAAGGTCTCACTCTGTCACCCAGGCTGGAGTGCAGTGATGCAATCTTGGCTCACTGCAACCTCTACCTCCCAGGCTCAAGTCATCCTCCCACCTCAGCCTCCACATACCACCATGCCCAGCTAATTTTTGTATTTTTGTAGAGACAGGATTTTGCCATGTTACCCAGGCTGATCTTGAACTCGTGAGCTCAAGTGACTGGTCCCCCTCGGCCTCCCAAAGTGCTGAGACTACAGGGTGTGAGCCATAGCGCCTGGCTAAATGTCCAGTTTTTCAGAAAAAATTATGAGACATACAAAGAAATAGGAAAATGTGGTGGATACACTGAAAATAGAGCAAGCAGCAGCAACGTGGCCCACAAAGATTTCGAAGCAATGATTATAAATAGAAAGTCCCCAACTTACAATGGTTTGATTTGTAGTTTTTTTTTTTTTTTTTTTTTTACTTTATGTTAGTGCTTTTAGCTGTGTACATTAATGGTGAGTACCCATGCAACCATTCTGTTTTGTACTTTTAGTATAGTAGTCAACAAATTTCATAAGATATTTGACATTTCATTATAAAACAGGCTTTGTGTTAGATGATACTGTCAAACTATAGGCTAATGTAAGTATCCTGCACTTAAAGGTAGGCTGTATTATTCTGTGATTTTTGGTAGATTAGGTGTATTAAATGCATTTTTGACTTACAATATTTTCAACTTATGATGAGGTTTATTAGGATATAACCACATCTTAAATCCAGGAGCATCGTATATTCAAAGAACTAAAGAAAATCATATCTAATTAAAAGTGGGTATGATGACAGTATCTCTCATGAAATAAAGAATATGAATAAAAAAAAGAACCAAATGGAAATTATGCGGTTGAAAGTATAATAAAAATTTAAAAATTACTATAGGGCTCAACAGTAGATCTGAACTTACAAAAGCAAGAAACACCACACTTGAAGATATATCAAGATGCCATGTGAAGAAGGGAAAGAAAAAAGAATAAAGAAAAATTAACAGAAGGCTGGGTACAGTGGCTCACTCCTGTAATCCCAGCACTTTGGGAAGCTGAGGTGGGTGGATTACCTGAGGTTAGGAGTTTGAGACCTGCCTGGCCAACATGGTGAAACCCCGTCTCTACAAAAAATACAAAAAAAATTAGCTGGGCATGGTGGCAGACACCTGTGATCCCAGCTACTTGGGAGGCTAAGGCAAGAGAATCGCTTGAACTTGGGAGGTGGAGGTTGCAGTGAGCCAAGATCATGCCATTGCACTCCAGCCTGGCAACAAGAATGAAACTCTGTCTCAAAAAAAAAAGAAAAAAGAGAAAAAAATAAACAGAGCCTGAGAGCAGTACGGGATATCATTAAATATACTGACATATGTGTAATGGGAGTAACCAAGATCAAGATAGCAGAGGAAAAAGCAGAAAAATTCAGGAGAAATAATAGCTAAAAACGTGCCCAATTTGGCCAGGCATGGTGGCTCACGCCTGTAATCCCAGAACTCTGGGAGGCTGAGGCAGGTAGATCACGAAGTCAGGAGTTTGAGACCAGCCTGGCCAGTATGGTGAAATCCCCTTTTTACTAAAAATACAAAAATTAGCTGGGCGTGGTTACATGCACCTGTAGCCCCAGTTACTTGGGAGGCTGAGGCAGAAGAATCACTTGAACCTGGGAGGTGGAACTTATAGTGAGCAAAGATTGTGCCACTGCACTCCACCCAGGGCGACAGAACAAGACTCCATCTCAAAAAACAAAACAAAACAAACCCCCAAAAAACTCCCAGCTTGCCCAATTTGATGAAAAACATAATTTACACATCCAAAAAGTTCAACGAACTCTAAATAGGATAAATGCAAAGAGAATGGATTCATCATAGGAAAAATGCCGAAAGCCAAGGATAAAAAGAAAATGATGAAAGTAGTAAAAGAAGAGTAGTTCATTACATACAAAGAAAATCCAATAAAATTAATGATTACTCTTATCATCATCTGGCTCACAATGGAGGCCAGAAGGTAGTGGGATGACATGGTCAAAGTGTTGAAAGTAAAAAATTATCAAACAAGAATCTTACATTGCTCACTGTAACCTCAAACTCTGGGGCTCAAAATCTTCTTGCTTCAGCCTCCCAAAATGCTGGGTTTACAGGCATGAGCCACCCAAGAGAATCTGTTGCTATCAGACCTGCCTACTAAAGGAAGTTCATCAAGCTGAAAGCAAAATGACACCATAGGGTAATCTGAATTTACGTGAAAAACAAAGAGTGCCAGTAAAGGTAATTTGTGGTAGTAATAAAAGTATAATTATTTAAACTGATTTAAAAAGCAAATACATAAAACAATATATATGTTACTGAATTGTTGGGTCAGTAACATAGAAATGTAATATATTTGACAATAAACACAAAAAAAGTGAATGAAAGAGAAGCTGTACTTGAGTATAGGAATGATACCAGATGGCAATTCGAATCCACAGGAAGAAATGAAGAGAACCAAAAAATGGTAAATAGGAAGAGTATTATAACAAACTCTATATACATACTTGCTTTCCTTTCTTTTCTCAGTGCCTATAAAAGATTATCTCAAGTATAACAATTTATTATTGGGTTTCTAATATATATAGATGGACTATGTATAACAAGAATAGCCAAAAAAGGGAGGAAGGAAATGGATTTATATAGAATTAAAGTTTCTGTATTTCCTTAGAATAAATCAGGATAAATCTCAGGTAAATTTTGTTTTGTTGAGGTGGAGTCTCACTTTATCACCCAGGCTAGAGCACAGTGGCACAATATTGGTTCACTGCAACCTCTGCTACCTGGGGTGCAAGCAGTTCTCACACCTCAGCCTCTCAAGTAGCTCGGATTACAGGCATGTGCCACCATACCCAGCTAATTTTTGCATTGTTAGTAGAGATGGAGTTTCACCATGTTGGCCAGGCTGGTCTTGAACTCCTGACCTCAAGTGATCTGTCCACCTCGGCCTCCCAAAGTGCTGGGATTACAGGTGTGAGTCACTGTGCCCCACCAGTAAATTTTGATAAAATGTATATTGTAAGGCCTGGAAAAACAACTAGGAAAATAACTAAAAAAAATACGATTAAAGATTCATTAAAGGAATTAGTATGTTACACTAGAAAACATACGTTTAACATAAAAGAAGGCAGTAAAAAAGAAAGAATAAAAAAAAAAAAGCCCAGGAGACATATATTAAAAAACAGAAAGTATAGTAGTAGAGAATGTCACGTTGAATTTAAAAACAGATGATCCAATTTGCTGTCTACATGATACACACTTTAGATTCAAAGATACAAAGGCAGAAAGTAAAAGGATGGAAAAAAAGGTGTACCATGCAAACAGTAATCAAAATAAAGCTGGAGTGATTATACTAACATGACACAAAATTGTCTAGAGACAGAGAATGACACTTTGGAACAAGATTCAATTGGTCAGGAAGACGTAACAATTAAAAATGTATACACAGGCTGGGTAAGGTGGCTCATGCCTGTAATCCCAGCACTTTGAGAGGTTGAGGCAGGCAGATCACCTGAGGTCAGGAGTTTGAGGCCAGCGTGGCCAACATGGTGAAACCCTGTCTCTACTAAAAATACAAAATCAGCCGGACATGGTGGTGCATGCTTATAGTCCCAGCTATGCAGGAGGCTGGAGAATCAATGGAATGTGGGAGGCGGAGGTTGCAGTGAGCTTGAGACTGCACCACTACACTCCAGCCAGGGCAACAGAGTGAGACTCTGTCTCAAAAAAAAAAAAAAATGTATATACACCTAACAAGAAAGTCCTCAAAGAAAAAAAAAAAGCCCCAAAATAAATGAAGCAAAAGCTGAAGGGATAAATAGACAATTCAATAGTAACATCTGGGGATTTCAATATCCCACTTGCAATAATGAATAGGAGGACAATTAAGCAAAAGATTAACAAGAACACAGAAGACTTGAAAAGTAGTATAAACAAAACTATAAGCTAACTAGATGGAAAAGACATCTACAGAACAGAAGCTCCAACCAAAACCAGAAGGGCAACATATTTTCTCAAATATACATGGAACATTCTCTAAGACCATATGTTGGTCCACAAAACAAGCCTTAATAAACTTAAAAGGATGAAAATAATACAATACATGATCTCTGACCACATGAAATGAAGAAATCAGTAAGAGAAGGAAAATCTGGAAATTCAGAAATACGTAAAAATTAAAATACTCCTGAATAATCAATAGGTTAAAGAAGAAATAAGTGAAATGAAAAGAATGCTTTGAGATGAATAAAAAAAGAAATGCAACATTCCAAGACTTACAAGATACAGCTAAGGTAATGTTCAGAGGAAAATATATATAAGCTGTAAATGCCTATACTGAAAAAGTTTTCAAACCACTCCCACTAATATTCAGCACCTATATTTGTCTATCATATTACCCCATTTCAGTGTCTGAAACTCTCTTGTTTGCCTGTTTGTTTTTTTTAGAGACAGAGTCTAGCTATTTTGCCCAGCTGCTCTCAAACTCCTGCCCTCAGACAATCTTCCTACCTTAGCCTCTAGAGTAGCTGGGATTCCAGGTGGGAACCAATGAACCAGGCCAACTGCCTGTTTATTTTGTGCCCCCTGCATTAGAGTATAAGCTTTGTAACAGTAGCTGACCAGACTAGGGGCTTAATAAATATTTTGTGATCAATATGATATCAATATCTTTAATTAGAACTATCGCTTATATTCATACAAGTATTAACTGTCTCTCAAAAATTCTATTTATTTAGCATATTGTTATAAAAAAAAACTGATGAGACAGGCTCAGCTAAAAATAGGTTCTTGGTACATGAAAATAAAAATAAAAAAATAAAAAAATAAAAAAAAAAAAAGGAGGCAACACTCCCACTAATAATCAACACCTGTCTCTGTCTATCATATAACCCCATTTCAGTTCCCGAAGCTCTCGTTTGTCTACCTGTTTGTTTTTTTTTAGAGACAGAGTCTTGATACTTTGTCCAGGCTGCTCTCAAACTCCTGCCCTCAAACTATCCTCCCAACTCAGCCTCCGGGGAGTAGCTGTGATTCCAGGTGGGAACCACTGAGCCTGGCCATCTTCACGTTGGTTTATGCTGTGCCCCGCCTGCATTAGAGCATAAGGTTTACAACAGTAGCTGACCATACTAGGGGCTTAATAAATATTTTCTGATCAAAAGGACATCAACATCTTTACTTAGAACTATCACTTATTAAAAAAAAAAAAAGAACTATCACTTATAATCACATAAGTACTGTCTGTCAAAATTCTATTTACTTAGAATATATATATATTTTTAAATTAACTGATTGAGACATGCAGGATCATAATCATAGCTCACTACAGCCTGGGCTCAAGTGATAATCACTTCTGGACTCATGTGATCTCCCACCTGAGCCTCCCAAGTAGCTGGGACTACAGGTGTACACCACCACACCTGGCTAATTATAATATTTTGTTTTTTTAAATAGAGATTGGGGTGATCTCCCACCTGAGCCTCCCAAGTAGCTGGGACTATAGGTGTACACCACCACACCTGGCTAATTTTAATTTTTTTTTTTTTTTAAATAGAGATTGGGGTCTTGCTTTGTTGCTAGGGTTGGTCTTGAACTCCTGGACTCAAGCAGTCCTCCTGCCTCAGCCTCCTAAAGTGTTGAATTACAGGCGTGAACCACTGCGCCCAGTTAGAATATTATAAAATAGGACTCTCTGTCTTATCAGTTTATAAAACTTAGGATTCATTATAGTATTATACTACAGAAAAGTTTTTTTTTTGAGCGGGTGGACGGAGTCTCACTCTGTCCCCTGGGCTGGAGTGCAGTAGCGCGATCTCTACTCACTGCAACCTCTGCCTGCCAGGATCAAGCAATTATTCTGCCTCAGCCTCCTGAGTAGCTGGGACTACAGGTGTGCACCACCATGCCCAGCTAATTTTTTTGTATTTTTGGTAGAGATGGGGTTTCACCATGTTGCCCCGCTGGTCTCGAATTCCTGACCTCAGGTGATCCACCCACCTTGCCCTCCCAAAGTGCTGGGATTAGAGGTGTGAGCCACCATGCCCAGCCTAGAAAAGTTTTCTAGTTTGGTTTTAAATAAAACTTATCCCATCAAGATTTTCTTTTGAAATTACATATACATTTTTTCAGTTATCAATAATCAAAAAAAGCAAATACAAAAAAAAAATCTTTTGAAACAGGTCAAGTAAAATAGAATATAAAACTAAAACAACAAAATAAGAAAAAAACCCCAAAAAACTAAAAAAAAAACAAACAAGAAAAAAAAACAAAAAAACTAAAACAAAATTAATATAAAAAGGAAAGAAGGAAGAGTTACACAATGGTTAAACCAATGTTCACACATCTTTGAATTGCACAATAAGAAAACATTTCTACCTGCTTAATTCATATTGCAGATTCTAGGGTACTAAAAGATAAGCAGTAAAACAACTACTACATAAATGCTTGAAGGAAAATTCTAATTCCTTAAAACAAACTATCAGAGCTTAAATTATCAAAAGTAATATCTAAATAATTAAAAATTTTTCAAAAAATAAACATTAAAATTACAACAGTATCATTATAAAAACGATTTCTCTTGTAATGTGCAACTTACACTGTCTTTTTGTCCTGTCGAAGAAGTTTGGAAGAAAATTCACTTAGTACTTCAAGAAAAGCCAGATTAGGAGGTGGATACTCTTGTCCCTTCTGATTTTGGTATTTAAATGCAAACTCTATGCCATCCCTGAAGTAAAAGAAAATATCAACTTATTTTTCCAGATAGTGTATTCTCTCAATTGGCTAACATTACATAAATATTTGTGAAGGTAGTAAAATCATCACAAAAGGTAGTAAAATCTGACAAATTCAAATAATAAACTAATGTGAATATATAGGACATATTTGTATATATTTATAGTAAGAAACTGTAAACTGGGAAAAATATACAAAAAATAGCTACAGAGCAACAACGGTAAGTTCCTTATTTGTTTTTGTTTTTGAGACAAGGTCTCACTATGTCACCCAGGTTGGAGTGCAGTGGTGCGATTATGGCTCACTTCCTTAACTTCCTAGGCTCATGTGATTCTCCCACCTCAGCCTCCCAAGTAGCTGGGAGTACATGTGTGTGTCACCAAACCTGGGTAATTTTTGCATTTTTTTTTGTAGAGGTGGGGTTTCACTCTGTCGCCCAGGCTAGTCTCAACCTCCTGGGCTCAAGCAATTTGCCTCCCTTGGCCTTCCAAAGTACTGGGATTACAGGCATGAGCTACTGTGCCTGGCCCCTACGTGTAATTTCTTAGAGGTAACAAGATACCCTGGAAAGATAATTATTAATAGATTGCCAGAATATTTGCTTCTTGGAGCTGGTAATGGTACCAAGCTGTATGAGTTTACTAAAGGTTTTGTTACTTCTGTTTTCACAATAATGAACCCCAAATCAGTTTTGTATAGTCTTTACAAAAAATTCTGTAATAATTATTTTTTCAGAGACAGGTCTCTGTTGTCCAGGCTGGAGGGCAGTGGTACAATCATAGCTCACTATAACCACAAATTCCCAGTCTCAAGTGATCCTCCTGGTTCAGCCTCCAAAGTAGCTAGGGCTACAGGCACATGCCACTATGCCTGGTTCACATTTTTATTTTTTGTAGAGACAGAGTCTTACTATATTGCCCAGGCTAGTCTTGAATTCCTGGCCCCAAACGATCCTCCTGCTTTGGGCTCCCCCAAAGTTCTGGGATTACAGGTGCAAGCCACAGTACCCAGCCTGTGTAATCTCTCAAAACCCATGCCTCCCACAACTGTTTTCTTAGTGACAGACCAGACGATAATATGTTATCAAATTTTGCTTTCTATACTTTATAAGATGAACAAATGGGTGATTTAAGTAAGTTTTTCCAAATTAAAAACGTCCTCCCAGTTTAGAATCTCTAGATAATCTCCAAAGTTCTTGTAAAAGTCTACCAATTGTCACTTTAAAAATGGGTCAAATAATAGTTATTTCATTAAAATTCCAGTAAACCAGAGTCCGTATAACAAAGTGTTTATCTCACTCACTTGTGAAGTGTAGCAACTGCTTCTCGTGTCTTAATCTGGTCCAATCCAAATGTAAGGGCAAAGCGACGTGCCAATTCTTTAATGCCACTGACATGGGCAGATGTCCTATCTAGGTTGGGACCTTGCTCTTGAACAAGTTCATTAAATAACTGGTAGAAAGAAACAAAGAGGAAAAACCTATAGCTCAGAATTTTTAAAATTTTCTGAATAAGTAATTTAAAAATATGTAAAAGGTATAAGGAGAAATACGTTTCTCTCCTTGAATTGAACTTTAGCTACTCTGTTCCCTTACTACAAATTGTCTATTAATAGCTTAATTTTCATGCTAGTGGTGTGACTAAATGCAGATAGAAATTTGTTTCTAATAATAATAAATACATTCTTTTTTTTATTGAGAGAGTCTCACTCTGTTGGCCAGGCTGGAGTGCAGTGCTGTGATCGCAGCTCACTGCAACCTCCATCTCCCAGGTTCAAACGATTCTCATGTTGCAGCCTCCTGAGTAGCCGGGATAATAGGTGTGTACCACCATGCCCATCTAATTTTTCAAATTTTTAGTAGAGACCTTGGCCAGGTTGGTCTCAAACTCCTGTCCTGAAATGATCCGCCCTACTTGTCCTCCCAAAGTGCTGCGATTACAGGTGTGAGCCACTGTACCTAGCCAAAAGAATGTATTTTGAGATGGGAAAAAGAAATATATTTATAAAAATACACTACATATTTATAAACATCTATTCTTTTTGTTATTGCTTTTACAGGAATGACAGTATATGAAATATAGGGTTAAGAGCTTTGTTTTTTCACTTATTATATTTCAAACAAGAACATTATGTAGACTATTTGCATACATCGGGCTATGATTTTTCCCACCCAGTAACAAAATACACCAAAAAGTTCTTAAGCTGGGTGGAGTTTTATAAATTGCATATATGTTAGCTATTTTCTGTGAAAATAACAACAAAAACGGAATCCTGGAGTACTAGGTAATATACAAGCAATTATCATTCCACCACCAAATCTAAAAACTTAATTGTATCTGTAGACACCTACCTTTCCTCCTGTTATAAGGGGTGAACTGTGCAGACTATCATCTAAAGCCACTCCCTCCTTATGTATTAGATAAGAAGGGAGTATATAAAGTTTTACCTGCTCAACAGTTTTGCTCTTGTGGTTACTGCTCTTTCCTCCCTCATAAACTATTCCTTCTGTACTAGATGCATACATCTTAAAAATACTCGTAACTTCTTGACCCCATTTTCTTTGCCAGCTACTAACCCATTTCTCTGATTCCCTTTATAGTGAAGGTTCCAAAAAGTATTGCTGGCATTTGTTTTCTTCAGTTTCTCACCTTCCAGCCTCTCAATTTATTCTGATCACACCATTCACTGAAATAGCTCCTGGTTGCTAATATGTTGTGCACCTTGTAAGTTTTCGTCAGCAATGCATAAACCTGAACTATTTGCTTTGTCAGTACTGAAGGAACAGTTCTTCCAGGGATTTCAAATTAATTCACAGATAACTATTTATAGATTCTTAAACTTTAAAATGTTTTCACATATTGGCATACACAATAAGTTTAAACTTTAAAACTTAAAGTGTACATTTAAAGTAAATATAAAGAATACATTTTGTTGTTAAAAAATTGAAAGAATATCAAAGTAAAAGTTCTTCTTTTTCTTTTCCACCAAATACCATTATTCTCTCCAAAGGTAACCAGTGTTAAAAGTTTGAAAGTTTTCTAGATCAGTATAGATATATTACATATACATCTAAAGTTTTTATTTTTACATAAATGGCACCATACTGCATATTGTCCTGAAATTTGCTATTTTTCACTCAATATTTTGTCTTAAAAGTCCTTTATCCATCTCAGTTTAGTTCCCTCTTGATAGACATTTAGACTATTTTGTTTGTTACTATTACAGAGACTACTGTAATAAAACATCTTTTACATATATATATATATGTACACACCTGTGCACATCTGTGTAGACACCTAGAAGCAAAATTACTGGCTTGAAGGAAATATATATCTTCAATTTTGGAATATACTACAAACTGTCTTTTAAGAAGGCAGTTTTCAAAAGGGACCTTTTCCTCTATATCTTTATCAATCATTTTAATTCATACCAATCTGTTGAGCAATAATAAGTGTCCATTTTAATTTGTATTTCAGTAACAACAATAAAAATTATTATTAGAAACAGGGTCTTACTCTGTCACCTAGGCTGGAGTGCAGTGGTGTAATCATAGCTCACTGCAGCTTTGACTTCCCAGGCTAAAGCCATCCTCTCACTTCATCCTCCTGAGTAGCTGGGACTACAGGTGTGTGCCAACAATTTTTTTTTTTAAGTTTTTGTAGAGACAGGGGTCTTGCCATGTTGCCCAGGCTAGTCTTGAATTCATGGGCTCAAGCAATCCGCCTGGCTAGGCCTCCCAAAGTGCTGGAATTATAGGTATGAGCCACTCTGCCTGGCTTTCATTATTGTTTATGGTTACATATGAAAATTATTATTTTTTATTGCATTTTAGGTTCTGGGGTACATTTGAAGAACATGCAAGATAGTTGCATGGGTACGCACATGGCAGTGTGATTTGCTGCCTTCCTCCCCTTCACCTATATCTGGCATTTCTCCTCACGCTATCTCTCTCCAACTCCCCAACCCGCACTGTCCCTCCCCCATTTCCCTCCAACAGACACCAGTGTGTAGTGCTCCCCTCCCTGTGTCCATGTGTTCTCATTGTTCAACACCCGCTTATGAGTGAGAACATGCGGCGTTTGATTTACATATGAAAATTATTAATGCCTTTCTTTGTGTGTGTGTGTGTGGTTTTTTTTTTGTTGTTTTTGAGATGTAGTTTCAATCTTGTTGCCCACGCTGGAGTGCAATGGTGTGATCTTGGCTTACTGCAGCTTCTATCTACCTCCTGGGTTCAAGTGATTCTCCTGCCTCAGACTCCCTAGTAGCTGAGATTATAGGCACTTGCCACCACACTCGGCTAATTTTTTGTATTTTTAGTAGAGATGGGGTTTCACCATGTCAGCCAGGCTGGTCTCAAACTCCTGAACTCAAGTGATCTACCCGCCTCAGCCTCCCAAAGTGCTGCGATTATAGGTGTGAGCCACTGTGCGCAGCCTAATGGGCATGTTTAATGGTTTGTAAGATTCTTTTCATGTTTAATGGTTTGTAAGATTCTTCCTCTGAAAAATACCTTTTTCAAATCCCTCGCTCACTTTTCTATGAGATTTATTTATCTTTCTTACTGATCTGTAAGGTTTGTTACGTAGGACTGAAAATATTTTCCCCAATCTATCATTTTTTAAAACTTTGCTTAAAGTGCTGACTGATGTATAAATCTATTTATATTTATACAGATTGGCTAGGCAAGGTGGCTCATGCCTATAATTCCAGCACTTTGGGAGGCCAAGGAGTTTGAGACCAACATGGCGAAACGCTATCTCTTGGAAAAAAAAAAAAAAATTTTATACTAATCATCAATTTTTAATTTTGTGACTTCTTTAGAAAGAGGATTTAAAAAATATTAT